CTGAGATTTGCGGTTATAAACCGTATCTCATCCTACTTTTGCGTAAGCTTCATTCAGACCTAGGAGACGTCATTTGCCCCCTGCTGGTCTGGAGGAATATCATTGTAGTACGCATCTGCATCCACTGTATGAGCAGAAGCTGCCGCGTGGACGACCGTCCCCAGACCGGAAGCGGACAAAAGCACATGCAACAAGCATTGAAGTATGAACTGGGCTTTAGGCATTTAAATGTGGCTCAGAGTCTCTCCTTCAAAAACAGATAATGTGAGTGTGGGTGGTGTTCGCTGTCTCTTTTCAGCTCGACTTTTTTTGATACCTGAATAACTTGGACCAGATCCCTGTAACCTCCCAGTGGATTTTTTTGTACTCACTGGATCTTTGTACTCATCATAGGCAGCTACACTGGATCTTTGTACTCATCATAGGCAGCTACACTGGATCTTTGTACTCATCATAGGCAGCTACACTGGATCTTTGTACTCATCATAGGCAGCCAATGTTATGTCTTTTCAGCCCTGTGGTATTTCTGATGATGCTCTGTCACTGTGCCTGCTGGTCATTTGAAGAAGCATTCAGAAGGTGCATGAGATCATTCAAACCAGGCGTGCAGCTCAGGTGAAGGAGATGAAATCACATTTGACCTCACATGCTCTGTTAGCTGCAGTTCATATTTTAACACTGCGTGACTAACACCAAATGCTCTGCTGTGGTCCTGCAGTGTCATAGTAGAACAATCTTAAATGAATAGAAAGGCTGACCTTCGAAACCTGTGTCAACATTGTGGCATGAAGCCTTTGTGAAGTCAAACTAATGTTGACTCAGTAGAAGCCCAAAGGCTCAGCATTTTGATAACCACAGTTGTATTTACTTTCTTTGTTATTACTTGGGAAAGACGGGCTTGATGTTGCTGAAGAAGCTCATTTAGCCCTGGTGTAACATAACAACTTGACATTAGATCTTTAATAGTGGCCTTAGGCATAAAACAGACAAAACGCAAACAGTCGACACACCTAGTCAAAACATTTGATTAAAATCAGTCCAATAAGCAAAGAATAAGGACCTACTTGGTTGAAAGTATTATTGTAACCTTGTGCTAATATGCATTTGTGGAAAATGGTTAGCAAGATGAATGATTAAAATTAATAATGATATCTGTTATTATTTGGATGGCACTGTCAGTCAGGGGGTGGAATTGCCTCGATTTTTTGGATACAGAAAGTGATTTAAATGCCACAGTACTGCTGGTGGTGACTGACCTTTCATCTTCACAAGCACATCCACCTCAATAGGGGGTGTTTGATGTCGAGGGAGGAGAACTGTTTTGGCAAAACTAAGAGTGCATAGCGCTGCTCTGGGTGAGATTCCTATGGTACCTGTCTGACCTGTAGGCAATAAGCATGACTTCCTTTGGTCTGCAATGCCAAGTATGAATTCATAAACTCTGTGAGTCATGTAGAATTAATATGATTTCTAAGCATTGAAATGACGGTGTTACAAAACTACAATAATCTTTCAGATGATTTATTTTTAAGTATCAGATATACAGTGGAGGAACATTTGTACACCTAAACAAATGGAAAGTTAAGATAGTGGTGATTTCAGGGATGATCTGACTGATTTTCATGAACCGTAAATATAACTGAAGCCCAGCAGTCACCTCTGTTACACGTCCATCCATTTTCCATAATGAATCCAGTACAGGGTCACGGTGAAGCTGGAGCCCGTTCTGGGAAGCTCAGGCTAATGGATGCCAGTCCATTGGAGTCTCATACATGCATAATTAGTAATGTAGAGGCACCACTCATTAATAGATAACAAATAGAACGTAATTTTCAACTACGAAATATCTCAAAAACTTCAAATATCACAATATGTACTTTGTTCAATATCACTCAAAACATACAATACATTCACAAAAAATAATATGTGCTGATTAACACGTGTATCGTATTCTGCAAGCTAGCTACCCTAAGCTTTGTTTTATCAGTGATAATCTTCACATATGGGAATCGCAGAATGTAAATTAAGCAGAATAATTTAAGTCAAAATCATGACAAAGACAGGCTGGGCTGCTCTGAGAGGCTGAATGGCATGTGAATAACCCCACATTATTTGGTGAGTCTGTCAAACCTGAATGTCTTCTTTTAAGATGTAGTTGCATTGCATTGTTATTGCGATATCTAAGTTCTGCTTTACAATTCTGACAAACGACTGCATTTTCATTAACTGTTAATGTGATGTGTTTTGGTCTTTGTTAGGATCCTCATCCGCTATGCGCCGTCTTCCTGCCACCTTGTTACCGAGTAACTGAGAAGGAAAATTTTACATCGATGCATTTAAATATTCAAGTTTAACTGAGTAGTCGCGACAGCTCTGTCTGCTAGCCATGTTTGCTAATCGCGACAGCTCTGTCTGCTAGCCATGTTTGCTAATCGCGACAGCTCTGTCTGCTAGCCATGTTTGCTAATCGCGACAGCTCTGTCTGCTAGCCATGTTTGCTAATCGCGACAGCTTTGTCTGCTAGCCATGTTTACAATCCTAGCATAGATTACTGGCACCAAGGGGAGGAAGCGGCTTCTTAAATTCACATGTCCGCCCAAGCCGGTGAGAATGGTCACATACTTTCAGGCACAGATATGCACGCACACTGACAAGCACCTCTCTGGCAGATGTCAATTTATTAAAAAATGCACTGGGAACAAAGACATGCGTTCCTCGCATTGCTGGGATGGTTCCCTCCTTGCAGAAGTGAGCCTGCACACCACCCTCTGTGCCCACACCTGTAACTGCGCGTTTTGCATAGCCGAGGGACCGTCGTCACCATGACAGATGCCACAAAACCACAGCCTGTGTGCCTGACAGTGAGGCAAAGTATTAACATCCCCGGTGAAATGGGCAGGCAGTGGAGAACCGGAGAACAGTGTTTCAAGATGCAGAGGTCCTGTGTTTTCTTGTGGATGCTGAGATGGCTGGAATGTTCCATCCCAAATTCCACAGGCCCGTACTAGCAAACAGCCTGGATCCATCCCTGCCTCATTCCATGCCCAGCATACACCCACCGCCTGGTGAAGCCTTTGTGACAGGAGCTCTCAAAAGATTTCCAAAGCAACCCAAAAACAAATTGTTGAATGAAATCTTAGGCATTTGCAGAGAATCTGTTCTTCTGTTGCGTATGTAGCCAACTTAATGTTTAATGGAAAGTGTTCAGTTACGAAATAGTCAAAGGAAAGGTTGGGCTGCAAACAGAGCAATGCATTTTTTCCCACATGCATGTTGTGAAAAAACTGGGCTTGTCACTACAAGATGGTACATTTAAATACCAAAACAGGGACCTTCCACCGATTGCCTAATGAACTACCAGTACTTTTCATCAAACAATACATATAATCTGAAACTGAATAGTGAGGTAAAATGCAGTGACTATGGCAACAAATCTGATGGTGTGACATCTTGCAGTATAGCAGGTAGTGTGGCCCAAAATGGCTGCTGTGTGTTTGATTTCCACTCTGCTCTGTTTGTATGGAATCTGCATGTTTTCCACGTTTGTATCGGTGTCCTCCTGTAGCCCAGAGACATTTGGTTTAACAGAGTCTTGTCAAATAAGTCGGTGGTTTTGTTGTACGTAGTATCAACAGACACAGTGCAATATATATATATATATATATTAGTTAAACCAAAATGTTCCAAAACCACCGATTGTCACTGATTGTAACCAGCATTAACTCATAGCCAGAATTAGCATAATGTGTTTTTGTGTTGAACATCTACTTGTGAATTTAGGTTCTTCCTATGTCAATTGTTTTCATTTTGCACCCTGAACTGAAAATGATGTACCGAACAGTAGGCGATGAGTAAGTGTACCGTTATAACCCTAGGTCACAGGGACATGAACCATCTGTTGTTAATCAGCCACAGGATCTTGGACAAAAGACGGAAGGAAACGCTTTGTTTGGTAACATAGATTCTGGAGGCTGAACAGATTCATAAGTTGGTGTCTGGTGCTTTGATCACATAAACATATTTGGGTGGTAGATTGAAACCCTTTCTTTACTCTCACAACATGGTATACCGTTTATTTTCTATATGAACATTTGTACAGGATGTGTGGTACATTATTTCAGCTGTTTGAAGTGCTTTGGTGTGAAGTGACTATCAGAATTAGGAGGCTCATTGATTATAAAGTGCATGATGACAATTATCTCCAGTAGTGGAACAAAAGGAGATGAGATCACCAGTCCCTCATACTGACGGCCATTAATCATGGACTGACGGCCATTAATCATGGACTGACAGCCATTAATCATGGCCGCTTCCCCTTGTGACTGCCTGATGAAATTTATGGACAGTAGAAACTAAAATAGTGTTCTTAAACAGTAAGGCTTTCATAATGACGAACAAAAGTCTCCCAGAAACAACTCAGATTTTATTGGTGATTCTTTAGTCAGATGATCTGCAGTTCCCAAATATGGACGGCAGAAAATGACCCCTTTTACATTAGACAAGAAACACTAGCACAGAATATGTGTGAAATATGCTTCTGAGCTGCCACAGGTTTTAGTTTATCTGTGAGCTTATTTGTTTGCTCATTTTTTGGCTTGTTTATATCTGGCCAATCACATTCTGGTCTTCCTCACCATTCGATGTTGTTGGTTACCGGCTGCCTATTACCTTCTGTGTTTGATGTTGCTGGCTTTATGCTGATTAACCACACAGCACCATTGCTTTACCATTATTTTGCTGGCCTTGTGCTGACCAGGTTCATGATGCTGAATCTCAGGTTAGTTAATGGTGATTTAAACACTCAGCTAGTAAGCTAATATATGGGTTCATTGGATGGGGTGGATGGAGTCAACATCATGACTGCAATTTCCACCAGATGCCCCCAAAAGGGGAAACTGCCTGTTCATTGAAACCAATGACATGATAAATTAAATTTTGTCCTATGTGTGAAGTTTAAATCTGTGAGCTTTTTCAGTTGGTGTTTTGGTGTGTTTTGACAGATCTCCACTGGGGTGAATCCCTCCCCCTTCCCCTTCTGATATCACGATGGCCCACCGTTCGCAGCGTTCCTCGCTGGAGGACAACCCATTTGCCCCAAACTACCTACCGCCCCACTATCGGGAGGAGTACCGGCTGGCTATTGATGCACTGGTGGAGCATGACTTGGAGGGGTACTATAGCTTCCTGCAGAGAGCAGGCGTTGTGGACTTCCTCTCCCAACTGGAAGTGGAGCGCATTCGGAATACAGTGCAGGCACCCCGACAGATCTCCCAGCCTGAGTTACTCTACTTGGAGTCTGAGCCTGATGGCTCTTCCGATACCTACTGGCCTGTCCACTCTGACATGGAGGCACCGTGCCTGGACCTGGGCTGGCCGATGAACCAGGGCTTCATTGGCCCCACAGAGGTCACCACATTGGTCAACCCCTCAGATCCGGAGATGCCCAGCATCAAGGAGCAGGTCCGCCGACTCATCAGAGGTGCCCAGCAGGTGAGTCAGTTCTCATACAGGTCAACTTGGAATGAAAGTTTTACACTCCTGTTTACGCTGGCATGTACCGAAATTAGATGGGGTTTGTTCAGGCAGAATTGTGTTTCATCAGTGAGTTGGGCAATGTGTAGCTCTGCAGAAGGTCATGAGGTCAAACCCTACAGCTGGCAGAGAAATCACATTACCATTGTTCCCAGTTGCTCCAGGGACAGTGGCTGACCAAAGTAACCATGCTCTCTGATCCGCACCACACTCTTGGACAAAAGCATTTTTAAAATAAATAAAAACGTAAATGCTTTATAATTAGGAAATGTGTTTCTGAAGCATTTGATAATTGCAAATACAGCCAGAGTGCTCTTAATCCTGCATTTTTTTTGTACAGCAGTAAACTGCATCAGAACACAATTTGACTATCGGACCCGACCCTTCGTCACATTCCTGTTATAATGTGTTGTCTGAATTAATCTTAATGCTTGACATATATTATAGAAACTATATTATTCAATGTATAAAATGTTTAGAAATGTTTATGACCAAAGATAAAGACAGCCTTTAAATGTCTGGTTTGTGCTGATGTGCTTCCTGCAGGTGATCGCCGTGGTGATGGACATGTTCACAGACGTCGACATATTCGCTGACCTGCTGGCTGCCGCCGCGCGCCGCGTGGTCGTCTACATACTGCTGGATGAGCAGAATGCTCACTACTTCTCCACCATGGTCACCAACTGCAGAGTCAACTTGGAGATGGTTCAGGTGAAGCCGGTTCTTTGAGCAGAAGCAAGAAGTGTGTGATGTCAAATGCTGACCAATTAACCAAAAAGGCGTGTTTCTTCATTTTTATTAATTTAATTATTCTATATTCTGCTACCTTTGAAATAGTGAAAAAGATTAAGAAGTTTTAAATATATTAAGTGTATATTAGAGTGAATCTCAGATATGTGTGGCACAGAAAAATTTGTTTTGCCCCCAACATAAGATCTGCTAACCCTGTGTGTTGGTCTTGCAGTCAATGCGGGTGAGAACTGTGTCAGGAAGCACCTACTTCTGCTGCACAGGAAAGTCCTTCAAGGGCCAAATGATGGATCGCTTCCTGATGGTGGATTGCAAAGCTGTGCTTAGTGGGAACTACAGGTAAGATTTAGCCATCTGCTGATAGCTACATGTTGATTTAGGTGGAGTATAAACGGGTATCAGTGTTTGCAATATAAGTGACTGTCAGGAAGTAACAGTAATAATATGTACTGTTACTACAGTCTAGTACAGGGGAATATGTCCTGTACTCATGTTATAGTCAATATCATCTCATGGAATCTCTAGCTTTCAGCCTCTATTTAACCAAAATATTTCATATTTACTTATCCAACCACTCTGTTCTCACAGCTTCATGTGGACGTTTGAGAAGATTCACCGCTGCATTGCACACCTGTTTCTCGGGGAACTGGTCATCACATTTGATGAGGAATTCCGGATTCTTTATGCTCAATCTGAGCCACTGGTCATTGAGAATTCCCTGGTGCCTGTTCCAGTACCTGAGAAAAGCAACTATGGTGTCAGGCAGTTTATGAACCCCAATCCCATGCAAATGAGAAACTCCAGAGAGTTTCTGCACATAGAGAGCCCCCACTTTTCTGAACTGCTGGGCTGTCCCTTGGAGGACCATATGGAGATGGAACACAATATGCCACTTCTTAGGAGGAAGGACCACTTCCGTGGTTTTCAAGACCCTGAGACACAGCAGGTCTACAGTAATAAATACTCCTCTCAGCAGTTGAGGATGGAGCGATCTTTTATGGGCTATGACCGGTCCGTAATGGCCGCCAGGCAGATGGAGATGAACACTTACAAGAGGCATTGCTATGCAGAAGGGAACCAGGAGAGCTATTCCTCCTCACGGCAAATTATGAAGCGTCGTATCAGATACCAACCTGAGGATGTGGAGTCCCTTAACAGCTACCAGAGGGAGCAGCACTACCGCCAAAGTGGAGGCTCTGGTTTGGGACATGGCATGTACAATAAGCTACAGACCCATGAACATCCCTATGCAGATCAGTATTCTGAGCAGTATGAATACCAGCCTGAGTTAGAGCCGCCTGATGGTTATAATCGTGTGTTGGATTATGTATCCTCTGACTCATCTAGGGAGATCAGGCACAGTTATGAACCAAAACCAACTCTTGTTGAGGGCCACTGTGGCCAATCAAGCACAAAGCGGCCAAGCCTTGGCCAGCCATATCCTTGCCAGAGCTCACCTGTTCAGTCACATCCACCTGATCATAAGCAGCTCTTTGTTAAATCCAATCAGGATCACCAGCCGCGAGACCCCAGTGTTAAACAAGGGCTGCGTAAGTGGAGGATCAGCTCATACCTCAGTGCTTTAGAGGATGCCACAGATGAGGGTATGCCAGAACCCCTTGGTCCCGATGCCTTTGACGAACCAGTACATCAATCGGAGGAAGAATCGTATGGTCTAGACGCTGAACATTCCAAGTTTAGTGCCAGAGACCGTCCACAGATTCCCACAATAAGGCCAAATCTGCTCCCACGCTTCGGTAAGCCAGTGCTTAAAGGATCTGAAAACCAGCCTTACTATGGGGCAGACTCTCAAAGAACAACAGAGACAGCAGAAGTCGCGTCAGATTCAGATTCAGGGTCAGCATCCATCACTGGGGGAGACAAAGCTGAGGAGGTGGAGCTCAGGAAACCTGGAGAGATCATAAGGCATGAATCTTTTCGGAACAGGGCCAATCTTTCTGTCCTGAGAAGCTCCAGACTACGATCTTCTTTGATCTTCAGCTCTTCCCAGTTGGAACAGCACTTTTCCACAGAGATGAAATCTGCTACAGAACTGAAGCATAATGAAAACCCTGTTGAAGAAAAGGAAACTGATCCACTGAAAACATCCACTGTGGTTGCTGAGATTTTGGGGAAGAGGAGATTTATGCCAAGAGAGCCCTATGATTGGAGCATTCACAAGCAGAGGACTGTGCAGAATGCTTCTTCAACCTCAATAAATAAAACGGATGAGTGTACTAATATTTCTGTGGAGAAAATGAACCTTTATAAAGCCTCATCTGAAACTTCACTTAAATTTATAGAGATGCCAGACTGTACTAATATTTCAGAAAACAAGGACATATCCATGGATCCAGGACAAGACAATCAGGCCAATGTTGGACCTCAAGAAAAAACAGAGATAACAGCAGGGGAGACATCCAGACCCTTACATGGATTAACCTCATTCATAAATATGAATGATCCGGAGGCTAGGTTAAAATATTTTAAAGAATTAGCTGCTAAGCGAAAGTCTTCGAAAACTGAAAATAAGTGTGAAGCGAAAAACCCAGAACCTCCTGTCAAAAATACAGATCTGTCCCAGACACTATTTAAGAATTCCTCAACAACACATGTAGGGTCTGGCACCACAAGTGTTTCAAAGGAACACAAAATACCAATGGATTCTGCAAATGGACATACAACGGAACAACACAAGACTGTGCTGGAGGAACCAGCTAAGACGACAGAAGGCTCCCACAAAGTTGCAGAAAGCACAATCTCATTCATAAATATGAATGATCCAGAGACTAGGTTCAAATATTTTAAAGAATTGGCTGCTAAGCGAAAGGTTTCAAAAACTGAAAATAAGTCTGAAACAAAAAATCCAGAACCTCCTGTTAGAAATACAGATCTGTCCCAGATAGCAACTAAGAATTCCTCAACAACACATGTAGGGTCTGGCACCACAAGTGTCTCAAAGGAACACAGAATACCAATGGATTCTGCAAATGAACATACAACGGAACAACACAAGACTGTGCTGGAGGAACCAGCTAAGACCACCGAAGGCTCCCACAAAGTTTCAGAAAGCACAACCTCATTCATAAATATGAATGATCCTGAGACTAGGTTCAAATATTTTAAAGAATTGGCTGCTAAGCGAAAGGTTTCAAAAACTGAAAATAGGTTTGAGCCAAAAAACCCAGAACCTCCTGTTAGAAATATAGATCAGTCCCAGACACTAACTTATAATTCCTTAACAACACATGTAGAGTCTGGCACTACCAGTCATTCTGAGGAACACATAAAATTAATGGATTCTGTAAATGAACATTCAAAGGAGAAACGTAAAATTGTGCAAGAAGAACCAGCTAAGATGACAGAAGGGTTTATGAACATGAATGATCCAGAGACTAGGTTCCTGTATTTTAAAGAATTAGCTGCTAAGCGAAAGGCCTCCAAAATCGCATCTGAGTCAGTCGCTAAACCTTCTTTAAATACTACAGACCCTTCTGAAGCTTCAGCAGATAGTTTAGGCATTAAGCCTGAGATCTCAGTAACTGGGTCAAAACCTAATGTTTCAATTTCTGAAGTCTCTCAGAGTCAAGCTGTGGTTCCACTGGTCCCAGAACCTTTGACACTTGATCATCTGGAGCAAGACATAAAGAATGCAAGTCAGCAAGAGCTTAACCGCATAGCTGAGATGGTCAAGAAGGAGCCAGCAGTCAAACAGCAACCTAGCGTTTTAGATGAACAGGACACTTTGAGAGCATTCATGTCAACATCTACTACTGCTTCTGCTTTGTCTTGCAATGAGGAGCTTTTGCGAGATGCTACTGATACACAGAAGACTCAGCTAATGAAGTCACGCCATCACAATGCCAGCAACATTTTCTTTTGTGAGCCAAGTAAGGCATTAGACAAGAGTCAAGGGTCTGGCTCATCTCCCGACACCGTCCCCCTCACTGGAGATAGTAAGCAGGATTTTGAGGTCCATGACCACCTTGACAGTCAAGTTCAGAAAGTGAAGGGAAGAGAAGGTGATGCTAAACCTGTAACTGAAAATGTAACAACTGTAATCACTGGCACTGAAAAATCAGAGCAGTTAGCCAGTGAAGCAGAGCACGTCTCCATGCCTGAGAGCAGTGTTGATGTACCTGGGACAGCTCAGAGCAAAGGGGAGGATGTCAACCAAAGTGCACATGTTTTAACATCCTCAAGAAACAGTCAGTCCCGTTACCAGGCTGCCACCACAAGCATTCTGTATAGCAGTAACCTCCGGGATGACACCAAGGTCATACTAGAACGGATCTCTGCAAACAGCCAAAGCAGGATGGAGCTGGCTAAGCAAGCTGCCCCCATTACGGATGATGCCAAAGAAGGTGAGAACGCGCACGGTGCAGACAAGGCCCCGGAAAGTGTGGCAGCTGGGCAGAGCACAAGTCACGTCCAGCACAACAGGGCTAACCCTCAGGACAGAGAGGTCCTTTTGAAGAGGATGGAGAGCATGCGCAAAGAGAAGAAGGTCTACAGTCGCTTTGAGGTACTCTGCAGTAATGAAAAGTTAGGTGCTCTGTGAAGGAGAACACAGGGGCCCCTGAAGAGTTCTAGGTTCAAAACAGAACTGCAGTATAATGCAGGATATAGTAAAAATCTCTGGCTCTCATATCTGCTGATTCTCAGGGTTTATTTCTCCTATCTGAAAACATCTAGCATGGAGTTATTTGTGTATAAGTCTATGCATGTATTTGCGGAGTATGACTGTCTTCTGTTGACTCTTATTCTGTATTTTAAACAGATGGGATCGTGACCTTGGATGACAAAGCAGAGGGTGGGGAAAGACAACTGGTGCTTCACAAAAGATCTAACAGTCTTCTGCTGTGGATCTTGCGACCAGAAGTACGACTTTGAAACATGTATTGCACACACATTTTTGTGCATCTTGCTGGATTGCATTAGGTTTTGGAATGTGACTGCTTCTGCCGCAACTATATGTCAAGAACTATCTGACTGCATCCATAATATATGTATTATGTGTAGGTTTCATTGTGGACATGACTGTTGGCATATGGTGTGTGGCCCCATCTGTGGGGAGCAAGCAGATAATGGATGTACATACATACAGGCAGGTACACCTGCATGAGCAACCTCAGATAGTCACTCAGAATCCTCAGTTTGGACTCCATACCAGGCAAACGCCGGGCCATAGCCTTAGTTAGGGACCACAGCTGTTCCCCACACCTTTCAAACAGGGTAATTCTGTGCGTGGCACCTAAGGGTTTTTGTTTATTTAAACCAATGTCTGTGTGATTTTTATGGGCCACAAAGTGCAATGCAGTTCATATCACCAATAGTCATTGTTTACATTAAACCTCCCATGTGCCTTAAGCCCTTCAAGGCAGAGATTCAGCACATATGCAGGTAAACGCAGAACATCTTCATCAGCAGGGGGACATGGAGGCGCAGTGCTCAGCACTGTTCCCTCACACCTCTCGGACCAGGGTTCGAGTCTCCACCTTGGCTCCATGTGTGTGGCGTTTGCATGTTCTTCCCATGACGTTATGGGGTTTCTTCTGGGTACTCTGGTTTCCCCCCTCAGTCCAAAAACAAATGCAGAGATTAATTGGAGTTACCAGATTGCCCATAGGTGTGCATGTGTGAGTGACTGGTGTATGTTAGTGTGCCCTGCGATGGGTTTGCGCCCCATCCCGGATTCTTGCACCCATAGCCTCCAGGATAGGCTCCAGACCCCCCGCAACTCTGAACAGGACAAGCGGTTACAGAAAACGGGTGGATGGATGATCAACAGCACACAGACTCCGCTAATACATTGAAATGAAAGACACTCGTATTGCTGTGGTTTGAGGCAATGGTGCCATGTTAGCAGAAGTAATATTATTGTTGTTATGTTTCTGAATGAGTGCAATATGATTTACGCATGGCAGTGTCAAAGTCCAATGCTATTTGGACAGATAACCTGCCCTTCAACACTGTGGGTTACATAATTATATTAATAATGTCAAGAACGAATCTCAAATCTGCAGGGCGGCTCCAGAGCGGGACTGATGTTTAAGCTGATACTAATAACCTGCTAGTGACACGGAGACCTGACTGGCGTTTTAAGCACCATGGAGTAATGGAGCACAGCGTCTGACAAAACAATTAATTCGCCCCTGAGGTTCCAGTCGCCGTATGACCTTTGCCGCAGTGCCTTCTGTAAAATGCACTTTTTAAATTAATGTTCTCTCAGAGGGAAAAAACGGTTTGTCATTCTGTTCAAGGAAACACTATCAAAAAGCAATGAACCTATTTAGATTGACTTTTAAAATGTTTTTAATGTTCTGTATGGGGTTTTCTTTGTAATAGATTGTGGAAATGTTATTTCCGCAGTGCCAAAGCAGGGGGCTCATTATTTGTCACGATTATTAAGGGCCAAATATTCTAATAAAGGGTTAGCTTTGAGTATTGCTTGTCCGTTATGAACTTTTTTGGTAGGAAAATGATTCTTTAGTTTCACACACCAGCTGCTTGCAGATGTTTGATTATAATAAGGCCTTAGGTCTTTACTGCAGGTTTGCATGGAGACAGAACTGCCTTGAATGCTGCCTTCTCATCCCACTGTCCTTCTGTATTAAGAATGTTAGCTGTAGACTCCGGTCCCTTGTAAATGCTGCCTCTGATCATCTATGCAATTTCTTTTCATATTTTTTTTAGTTATTAAAACTGCGATACCAGTGTCCCCATACCCCCCATCTCCTTACCCCTGCCCCCCATCTCCTTACCCATACCCCCCATCTCCTTACCCCTACCCCCCATCTCTTTACCCATCGTGCCAGTTAGCCCCTGCCTACAGCACATGTCTAAAACTTGTTTCTTTGATATTTCACCCCCAGTTCCTCACCCAGTTAACCAGATCGCCTGCCTCTGACATTGTTCCGTTGGATTTAAATAACTGCTGTTCTCACAAACTCTGGTTTAGATTCTGTTCATATCCACAGACTTGTCTTTCATTCCCAGTGTGATGCTCCTACAGTTTGGAACTTACTTCTTCAGAGTGGCTGGGACACTTGGTCTATTTAATCCCTGAAGTCTCTGCCAAAGTCACGCCTTTTCACTCAGTGCCTCCTCTCTCTCGAGCTGCTAATTTCACATGCTCATGCCCCCCCATTTGTGTAACTTTTGTTTTATCTTGTTATTCTTTACCCTCTATACACTCCTGCTTGTATTTTTGCTCATTTATATACTTGTATGCTGTTATGTGACTGTCTATTTTTCTTTTGTTCTGATTTTGTAAAGCATCCTTGAATATTAGAAAAGCATTATATAAATAAAAGAATATCTATTATGATTACAGACTTAATATCCTGTGACTTTGGATAACCGGGTTAGTTCAGGGTGCAGTTTAAAAATAGTTTATTGCTTTCTTCATTGCTTCACCTTTTTTTAATTAAAGATATACACGAAATGACTGAAGTACATAAGACAATTTAGCAACTAAATTTTATAACACAATGGAAAAATTTACATTTCACTGTGTGTGAATAGGGAATGTGTGCTTGTGTGTATGTCATAAATTGCAAGAGTGGGATTCAAGAAATTGTCCAATATGGTAAATAGATTGATTGTTTTCTTGTAATTTGTATCATGTCAGTAGTGTCAAGCGTTGTATTATGGAGAGATGTTCTGGGATCAAACATTTAAAAAAACATCATAGTTTGGTGTTTACACTATGCCAGCACGGCTGGACTGGAGGACGTGGAAGCAGTTTTTAGTGTGTTAAGTGTTTTTGCTGTTTTTCGATCATGGTTCTTATGTTGGTTATTAGTTCCTTAGTTATTCTAAAAGTACTGCCGATCTTGATCCAGCAGTCAGTGATGGTGCTAGTCTCAAGAATCTGTAATTGTTAGTAGAGTGTGAAATCTAGAAAGTATACTCAGATAACCAGCCTGTACAATTGTGATGAACAAAAACCATCTCTGGATGCGTAACTCGTCCAACCTTGAAGGCAGATGATCTACAACAGCAGAAGACTGTCAGGTTCCACTCCTTTCAGCCAAACACAGAAAGCTGAGTAGGCACAGGCTCACCAGCACTGGACAGGTGGAGACCAGAAAAATGTAGCCTGATCTGATGAATCTCGATTTCTGCTGAGGAACATGGATGGTAGAGTCACAGTTTGCCGTCACCAGCATGGATCCATGGATTCAACCTGCCTTGTGTCAGTAACCCAGGCTGGTGGTGATGTAACAGTGTGGAGGATGTTACCGTGGCACACTTTGGGCCTGTTGATATCAGTCGATCAAAGCTGGACTGTCCCAGCCATTGTGAGTATTGCTGTTAACCATGTGCATCCCTCCATGGCCACGATGGTTCCATCCTCTCAGGAATACTTCCAGCATGATAATGCACCGCGTCAAAACAAAGGTCATCTCAAACTGGTTTTATGAATAAGGTTTTATGGTTTTATGACAATGATTTTAGTGTTCTACGGTGGCCTTGCCAGTCACCACATCTGAATCCAATAGAACACGAGATTAGCAGCATGGATGTGCAGCTGACTGTGTGATGCAATCATGTCGGCATAGACCAAAATCCCAAAGGAATGTTACCAGCATCTTTTGGAATCCATGCCCTGATGACCTCACCCAGTATTAGTATAGTGTTCCTTATAAAGTACGCAGTGAATGTACAATCCCCCTTTTCTCCCTTCTAAGCATACAGGTGGTGTCTTGTTAACAAGTTTGGATTGTGCAATATGGGTGTGTCTTTGGATGGCATTATACCAAAATTACATTCCTTTTCCGCTAACCTGTCAGAGCTGTTGCAGTTACAGGAATTTTTAATTGATTCTGGTGCTTTTCCTATTACTGAGACTGCCAGTAGATATTTTTCTGCATCTTTGCTCTTTCAACCTATTTATTTTCGTAACGGTTTCCATGCATCTGTTTGGATAAAAACTGGCTTTTCCTGTAATGATGGTACACTGGCGTCCCTTAAGTCCCCATAAGTTTTCTGATTTCATTCCTTTCATATGCAGTTTCCTGGTTCTCCAGTGAATTTCTGATTAAGCTATAATTTGTTAAACCAGTATGTGGTTAGTTGTGTTTTATCACTGCAAATAGCAAATTTTGAGAAGTATTCATTAATTTTGGGAAGTTATTAAAATGCTTCTAAATATTGAAAGGGGTAAATTCATAGTGAGGTTATCTACAGTAGTAGGTTATCTTAAACACTTTTTAATACTTTAAATTTGAAATTAATCAGCTCTGGCAGAATAGAGGAAATGTGTTGAGCTATAGACAGCAGGTCAGGGATTGAATGTGCTAGTTTTCAGATGTTGCTTCAAAGGACTCTGACGATGGGATGTGGAGGGGTAGCTGATTACGTCACCGAGGAAATGTGCACGGGTTGTAACTAGAGTTAGATTTATTTCTATGTGATGGAGGGATCTGCAGGTGGCTTTGGTGTGCTTACTGAACAGGGTGAGACAGAATGTAGGTCATGTTGAGCAACTTAATGGAAGTGGATGGTGTTCCATTAATAGGTCTGAAAACCAGCACTTTCTACATGTTGAATAACATGGTTTTCCCCCCAAAGCACTAAATTTGCAGTTTTTCAAAACATGTGGGTTAATCCTTTGTTTCTGTGAAGGAAGTCTGCTGTCTCATAGGTGGCATACTTTCTAGCTATTGGATTTATTAGGCTTGTCATATGCTCTTTAAGTATGTCACTTTAACAGGTTTCCTGTGTGAGATGAGCCCTGCAAGAGGAGCTCGACCCAAACAAAGAAATGATGAGAATGTGGTATTTAAAAAGTGACAAGCATTCAGCTGGTCTGAGTGAGCACTGTACAATATAAATCCCTTGGATTTGAACACTTGACACTAGAGTAATTAGATCACAGGTTCTAGTGGTGGCAGGACCAACTATCAAGCTGGGGGGGTGGGGGGTTGCCTGTGGGTTATGAAGGCATTTCCACAAGACTAAGTGCCATAATTTCCAAATAAAAAAAACAACGGCCAGCTGGTCGTATTTCTCATACTATGGTAAGTTTCTTTGTGAAACCTATAAAGAAATCATAACAGGGATCTGCAAACATCTCACTTAGGCTGAGGTTGGTGTTTATGATCAGAAAGGCACTGATCAGATATGGGCTACATGATAGAGCAAAAATACAGAAAGTAACACTCAATATGAACATAAGTGTTTGTCTCAGGGGGTCACATGGGGGTGCAGTGGTTAATATTGTTGTCACACAGTTCTGTGTCCTGGGGTCAAGTCTCCACCAGGGTTTCTTGTGTGTTGCATGTTCTCTCTGTGTCTTCATGGGGTTTCCTCCAAGTACTCTGGTTTCCCCCCATAGTCCAAAAACATGCTAGACAGGTTGGACTTGCCAAATTGTCCATAGGTGTGCATGTGTGAGTGAATGGTGTGTGACTGTACCCTGTGATGGGTCTCTGTCCTGGGTTGTTCCCTGCCTTACACTAGTACAGGGCTATTCAACTCAGGCCCTCGATTCCAAATCCAGGCCTTGTTTTCAGTTCTCCCAGGTAGTTAGTTTAATAATTACTGATTCTGATTGGTCAGAGGCTTCTCACCCGGCTCACAGGTAAAGGAAGGCTGGAAAATCAGCAGGGCTTGGCCCTTGAGGACAGTGAGTTGAACAGCCCTGCGCTAGTAGGTTCCAGAATAGACTACAGACCCCCCCGCAACCCTGTTTAGGACAGGGGACAGGGGCATGTTTATCATGTTGCTTTTAAGAGCGCTCTATAAATGTTTGGGAACTGGGTTACTAGAGTTTTGAAAGTAAAATGTTGTCCCATTCTTGCCTGATAAAGGATTTCAACTGCTCAACGTGTTGCTGGCATCAAATTAAAATTGAGCACATATTTGTCATAAAACAAAATTTCACAATTTCATATTTGATATGTTGTATTTTTTCTATTTTAAATTAAGTATGAGTCTATATGATTTGCAAATCATTTCATTGTTTTTGTTCATGTTTTACACAGCGTCCCAACTTTTTTGGAAACGGGGTTATATTATAATCATAAGCCAAAAGTACCAAACATTGGCTGGGGTGTTTCACATTGTATCTGTAAAAAACCAAACAATGCTTTCAGCAATAAGAACCTCACAGCTATTATAAAGTCAAGTCTATTCGAAATGTATGCAGTTGTTGAATTTGTGCAATGTGCCATACTCTCTCTACTGCTTATGGCTCCACCTCTCTAAAGATCAGCAGACCGTAGTCTAACATCGCCACCTGCTGTTGAGAAATTATACTCAATACACAGTGAAGCGTACGGAGCGCCTTAAGGCAGAAATACACTTGCTGTTTGCTACGTATGCGTATCCGTACACAGTTGCGTTGTTAACGTTCGTGATGATAGGCTACTTGCGTCCGTACTGTGTGTTGTAATCTGTAGTGTGTACTACTTACCACCAGGGGTCAGTGTCGAGGCCGCAAACCAAATAAATGAATGAATACCTGTATCTTTAAAATCGTCATCTGTTATTACGAACAAACATGTCTTCAGTCGAAGAAATATTAATCTTCATTATACTGAGACGGCACCAGAGAAGAAAACGCAAATCGCAGAGATGGTACATTCGATCAATTAATAGATCTCGTCAGCAAAATGGGGAATTCTTTTCTCTGGTTTTGCTGAGAGACATTGACGAGGAAAAACACCGGGAATATTTTCGAATGTCCCCTAAAGTGTTTGACGAATTGCTCCGTCGAATTCGTCCTCATATTGAACACAATCAGATCCTCAGTAACCCAATAGGCAGCGCTCAGCGACTGGCTGTCACCCTTCGGTTTCTCGCAGCTGGGATGAGCTATACAGCCCTTGCAGCCAGTTACAAGCTTGGCTCAGCCACAGTTGGACGCATTGTCAGTGAAGTGTCCCAAGCAATATGGGTATCGTTAAAAACAAGCTTGTTGCATACCCTGATCAAACAAAATGGCAAAGCATTAAGGGGGATTTTTTGTCTTTATGGAATTATCCCAATTGTTTAGGATCAATCGATGGGAAACACGTCAGGGTACGAGCACCACGAAACAGCGGCAGCCAGTTTTACAAATACAAGGGGTATTTTAGTTTTATTTTGATCGCAATGTGTGACGGCGGATGATTGCTGGGCAAAACACCGGGTCAGCAGGATCACCGCTTCGTTTCGCGGCTAACTTTTTCCGCGCTCGAACATACCGGTCTCGCACTTGTCGCCACTTGTTTTTACAAATTTCCGAATTAACATTGAAGATGTTTGAAATCTCTTGCCAAGTATTATTACATGCTATTTTGTTACTATGAAGAGGTTCTTTCACGTCATATAAATGATGATAATTGCGGACTTGCTCAATCAACAGGTGCAGATCTCGCAACACTGCCCCCTATAATTTACGCAGGTATTGCATCTCCGTATACGTTCCGTTAATTTTTGAGTACGTGCACAAAAACCGACGCAAAGAACGCAGGATACGGACCGCGGCTGTACGTACGTATATACGTACGTAGTTAAAAGCAAGTATATTTCTGCCTTTAGGTGTTATGGTAGAGAAAAATATTATCTCGTAATAATTTGTCCACTCGAGTTAATAATTCGTGCTCTCAATCTAGGTATTTGTGCGCTCGAATTAGTAATAGGCTACATGCTCTCCAAGGAATAATTCGTGCTCCGGAGTTAGTGATTCGTGCTGTCCAATGAATAACTCTTGCGCTCGGTAGGGATGTCAAACTCCGTTCCTGGAGGACAGAAGCCCTACGCATTTATGGGTCTCCCCTCATTTAACAACTGATTGAACTCCTTGTGCTAACCACACAGCTCTTGAACTGAACCATTTGTGGTGGAACAGGGAAAGAATGAAGCTACGCAGGGCTCCGATCAGCGCTCTGAGACTGAAGTTTGACATCCTTGGTTTCCGGCAAGCCGCTGGGACGTGCGAGACGTTTTCACGGAAGGTATCGTTAATCGGAGAGCATGAATTACTACACCTAAGGGGCTCCGTAGAAGTGTTCTACCTGTAAGTAATTAAATTGGCTGTTTATTATAACGTTTCTCTAGCTATGATACAGTTGTCAATAGAAATGTCACAGGAAGGACTCTGATTATAAAGCTGTTTTAACCATGAGGTTCAGAAAGCAAAATTGTTCAAAAATAGCCATCAAACATAAATAATCCGTCAGATGTATTTAAAATTTGAGGTAGACTTAGACATTTATCTTGAATTTTTCATATGTACAAAGAATCAAGAAACATGTAATTCATGACTTTTTATTTGGATCACATTGTGATGTATACACTAAATATAAATGAAATTCCTTGATTTGAAGAAACTGGTATATGAGGTCAGTCCTTACACTGACATCTGTACTTGTTTTGCCTGCTTGTACCATAACTGTGTGCTTGTACTATAACTGTGTGCTTGTACTATAACTGTGTGCTTGTACCAGCCTTGTACCCTGTGCAGCTGAAGGCCCCCACCACCCCTGACCAGGGTATTGTTGAAAGATGGATAGAATAATAAGCATCAAAAATACAGTTTGAAAATGTTTGACGTTTCATTTAAACCCACAAACGCAAAAAATTGTATTAAGTTTTTTATATTGTTTCACAATTAATCATTTCCAAAGCACAACTACATGAAATTTTCTGAAACAATAAGTCATTAAAGTTGAAACAGAATAAAAATGAAAACACGACATTGACCTCAATCCTCCAAATCTCCATCCGCTGGTCTACAGTTGTACTTAATGTGATTTTATGCTGTAAGGAGAATAATAATTTTAATTTAAACAATGTATTGAGGCAAGAAACAGATGTCTACACATAAGAGTGTTACAGTGTGTAGTGTGGCACAGCATGTCCTATACAGTGCAGTCCATAAATGGACAGAGACACTTTTTTTATATGTAATTTTGACTTGTATCCTCAGAATTAATGGATTTGGAATGAAACAGGCTGTGTCAAGTTCAGCCTATCAGATTGTAACTTATTAGGATAATCATCTGCTTAGCTGTTCCCTGGGCTTGTATGTTATAACATGATCAATTCATGCTCAATTAAGCAGATAAAAGGTCTAGAGTTGCCTCTGTCTCTGTCCAGGTACTTATAGACCACACTGTATGTGTTAATTGTTGTGGTGAGAACCTTGAATATTAAAGTGCTAGCAAATGTTTAATGTCATTGCAATGCTAATTTAACAGCCTGACAAATTAAAAATGACAAGACTTTCATAACTTTGAACAATGTCAATATTTTTGGGGAGAGAGAGAGAGAGAGAGAGAGAGAGAGAGAGAGAGAGAGAGAGAGAGAGATGGGTGGGTGCTGATTTGCCTCAATAAATTGGAGGAGGACCCTTGCAATACTTTAGTGTTCCCTAACCCAGTCCTCGGGAGAACCCCAGGACAGTCCACGTTTTTGCTCCCTCCCAGCCAATCAGGAACACCGAATACCTGGTACAGGCATGCTGGGAGCTGAGAGGAAGCAAAAACGTGAACTGTCTAGGGTTTCCCCGAGTACTGGATTAGGAAATACTGCAATAAGTAATATTGACTCCAAGTTTTAAATTCATCTTCACGTTATCTAATACAGCCCAGAGCTGTTTCACTGCTGAGGGCCATTCCTTCCCAAACCAATGGCACCAAAGTTCCAGTATTAGAACTGTAGTCTCCATACACACATTGCGAAGAGATAAAAATTGCCGTTCTTATCCTAAAGTCATTGCCTAAAATAAAATACAAAAAAAATGCAATAACGTGCCTTAATGAGATCCAAATTCATATAAAGCACAATCTTCAAGTGGTATATTTTTCT